ATCTTTGTTCAAACTTAATTTAAATAGGGTAATTAAGGGGAAGTGAGAAGTGTTGCAATGTTTCTAGAATCATTTTTAGTATGCAAGAGTATAGTTAGTTTGGAGGCAAAATTGAGTAGAAAGAGTTGGACACGGAAGATTAAATCATCGTTTCTTATAAGTATAAAGTTTGAGTTCACAATCTAATGATGGACTTGGACAAAAGCACAAGATTAAATATAATTTATCTTGATTATGAGAATAGTTTAATTCCAACTTTTTGCGTTAGTACATTTTGTATGTATTGAACTGACCAAGTAGAGATAAGTATTTTATACTGACTTAATACAATAAATTCTCTAGCCATTAAATGTATTTATACTCCTAATCTTGATATAATTATTACTAGTATTAGTACCCCGCGCGGATGCGCAGACACTAATTATGTCAAATATTTAAGTTATTTGGATTGTATGTAAATAATCTTAAAATTTACACTTCCTCACTAAATATAGATAATAATTGGATATTAACTACATGAAAAAAAATTAACCATTTCTTCTATTTTTATTTTTGATACCATTCTTACCGGTATCATTGGATTCTAAAAATAGTGAGGAAGCAAAATAATAGCTCATATTTATGGCAAAACAATCAAATGTTGTGACAATGAATGACTATTTGGATAAGACTTAACTCTTTTACTACTACTTGAACTCCTATTTGGTGTGTTGATATCTCTTAAAAAATATTTCTTTCTTAAAATTTCAGTTTCTAAAACATTATTTTTCAATAATAATTATTTTTATAATAATGTAAATGAAAATATTATTCTTAATTCAAAATTCATTTTAGTTGGCTATCTAAAAATATAAGAAATTCTTTAGTTAATGAATTTTTTTTACTCCATTTTGATATTTTCCAGACCCCACTTGTGGGATTATACTGGGTCGTTGTTGTTGTTTGATATTTGACATTAACCATATTAAATATCTGAGTTATTTGAATTATATATAAATAACCTTAACATTTAAACCTTCTAAATAATTATAGATAATCGTCAGATATTAATTAAGAAATACTACATGAAAAAAGACTAACATTTTTTCAATTCTCGTAGTGATAATTTTATTTTTGCACTATACTCATAGGTATCATTGGAACCTAAAAATAGCCACAAAGTGAAATAATAACTTATATTTATGACAAAGCACAAAGGTTGACACGATATAAACAATTCTTTGATTACGACATGACTCTTATACTATGATTTGAACTCTTATTTGGTATGATTTTATCTTTCAAAAAATATTTTTATTTTGAAATTTTAATTTCTAAAACTTTATATATATTATAATAATAATTATCTTTATAATGATGCAAATGAAGATATTATTGTTAATTCAAAATTCACTTTAATCGGCTATCTAAAAATTTAAATAATTCTTTGGCCGGATTTATTTCAGTATGATTCCACTTTAAGTTTATCGATATCTCTAACCCCAGAATTTGAATTTTTAATACCCTATATATACAAATATTTTGTTCTTTGAATCATTAAATGTTAAATTAGTTGATTATTATTATAAAATATTGCATATATTGTCTTAAAATTGTCACGTAGTTTATTTTTCGACACCATACTTGGCTTAACATCAATGCAAACTACTCAAATTGAATTCTAATTCAAATGCGAATATCATATCAGTTTGTTAGTAATAGTGATTTTTTAAAAACGACACATAATGTAAATTAAAAAAAAAATATTCTAAGATATCCTTATCTTATAATCCATGTATTTGAGTTGAAAAAATATTTGAAATGGATGAGATTAACTTTCAAATTTTTTATACTCAACAAAGATGAAACATAAGAAGAAATTTGTTGTTCATCTTTTATTTCTCATTTTTAGATCTTTCTAACATTTTGTTTTAATATTTATTTTCTTTTATCTTATTTTTTATGTCATTATTTCTTTTGTTACAAAAAAATTAATTTATTTCACAATAAAAGGATGTATTTTAATAAAAATTATCTACATATGAACTTTAATTATATTTTTAGTCTTTGGTTGAAATTATTTCATATTTTTCTTTTGGCTTTATCTAATCAGCCTAAATAGATACTCACCCAACCACTTAAATTAAAAAACAATAAATATGTTATCGGCATATCATGTGTTATCGGCACATATATAATCCATATATAATATATGTATAATCATGTGTTATCGGCATATCATCTATTTATATTAGCTATAAAAAGTAAACAATAAATATGACCGGATATTATGTAAATATTCTATAAGATTTCGGTTTGTTGAGCTTATCCATGATATAACTTCTATTATTATAATTTTAAAACTCTCTACTAATGTTCAAAAATATCTTCTTTTTATTATATTTGAATTAAAACAAGTAAAGAGTTTTTTCGAAATAATTTATTTACATTTTAAACAAAATTTTTTAATGTCATACCAATTTTTTCTTTATATATACTCTTTGTTACACTTAAAAGTCACTATAGAAATTATCAATTAGAAACCAATTTCTCTCTTGTTGAGTTTGAAAAAAAAAAGTCTTGCACATAATCTAATGATTCAAAACTAATATTCTTCAACGAAAAAAATATTATACCCTTGCAATATTTGCCTGACTACAACTAAATGAAGGGCTTTCAGCTTATTCGCTTCAATTCCTTGAATGCACTATTACAATTAATGATAGCAATTATATAGCCAAAGTTTTGTTATTTGTTTGATGTCCAATTATGCAAATCGACTCTTCAAGCAAATATTCTTCAAGAAGAAAAAAGAAACAACTTTTTTTTTTAATATTGGCTGATTTTGTGATGTTTCTTTCTCCAGCATGTATGTTTACTTTATTATATATGTAAGTAAACTTTTATTTGGTTTTGTAAACTCTTTTTTGTTATTTAGATAAACATAGACGTGTGCCCTATATATTACATTTATTTAAAAAGAATTTCATTTTATTCAAATCTAACTACAATGTTTCAAAGAACTATACTTATAAGATTTTAAATCTGAAAAAGATTTATAGTTATATGGAGTTTTTTTTGGCTAGAGGCGAAGTAGTATTTAGATAATTAGAAAAAATAACAAAAGTTCCTAACATGATTGCATATGATAACATGATAAAAAAGGATAAATTTTATTTTTAATGTAAATTCGAATTTTAGAACTTTATCTATAAATTCAAAATTATTTTTTAATTCAAATTCTGTATATACATATTTGTATTTAACTAAAATAGTCAAATATAGAATAAAGTTATCATATACTATTGACGTTTATTAGCTTGCCACTTGGCTTAACCATAATGTCAATCATATATGGTAAATTTCTTGCTTATATATATATATATATTAGCTGTGTATATTGTTATTGTTTTGATTTATTAAAAGACGAAACTCTTCCGTGAGTCAATATACCTGGCAAATTGGATAATAATAATATACATTGGCGAAATAATAGTTAGTTTATGGAATTCATGTCTCAGTTTAGAGATTGATGATACACCTTTACGAAAGCTTATAAGTTTTAATGTGTAACCCTGGTCGGTGAATTTTGTATCTGACACATGAAATAAGTTAAGCGAAAGTCTAAAGAAAATATCAATAAATTAAATTGTCAGTAATTTAATTCAATTGAGTAATATCTAATCTTAACATGGGGAATTAAATAAGATTTAATCGATGAATCTTGAAATTGAATAAGGAGTGCAATTGCGATTTTTTAGTGGAATAATTCCTAATTTATTATGGTGGATATTATTTTCGAACATTAGGAATTAATTCCATAATTGAAAGCCTTGTTAATTAAATTTTGTGGTCCTTGCTATGGCTAAATAAGCATGAAATAAAGGAATCTTTTTCCTACTAGAAAAAAAATCCAACAGGTTTTGGAAAAGTTTTTAACCCTTGAAAATTATTCTATAAATATATAAGGTTTTCCATCTAAAGGAAGTAGAACATGGTGGCCGAAAATTTGAGCCAAGTTTTTCTAGAAATTTCGCCCACAAGAAATTACTATTTTCGGATATTATTTGGGGAACACAGTAGAAGACCGTTGAACATGGAGATCGTGATCATGCGAGTGGTGAAAATTCCATTGAGACGATGTGAAACTGAAGGCTTATGTGACTGAAGCCTGAAGGGTTGTGTTCACCTATGTTGCACGGACTCTCCAAAATACTGCCGTACCCGTGTAGAATTCTCCAAATACACACTATATTTGAAGGATCCGACTTGTGGCCCACGACATTTTCGGAGGGTCCGGGCAACATAGGTGTTCACGCTTCAAGAGGTAATCTAAAAAATTCTGTATATACTAGTTGTCTAGATTACATGTGATTTTGATACTGGAATTGTTTTGCTGCTTATAATAATCCATCAGGAATAACTAATCCTTCCCCACCACCGGTGCACATACGTCATAACTATATACATTTCATGCACATATGTTTCTATCATGGTCGATTTAACTCAAAAATGAGAGACGATAATACTTATGTGATTGAGTTGAAAGGCACAGCATCTTACTTCAGATAATGCATCCAAACTTTTCCCTTCATATGCCCCCAATCCACGAGCATCCAAAAAGCTATATTCAGGAACTATACGGCTGCAACAATACCAAATCAAGTATCAAAAGACGAAGTAGTTATATCAACTGTACTGAATTATAATTCTGGTGAAAAACAAATAGAAATGAAGTGTCACAAAACCATGAATTGCGTTAGCATTGGCATTTAACATTAACCCTCAAATCAAAATATCAAATGCAAAGTTTATTCAGACTGTGTCCACAGAAAAAAAAACCAGTGAATTTCAAGAAGATGATTCCTTTTACTTGAGGCAATTAAACTGTGAATACCTTCGATTGACACCATTGACTGCAGCGATAATCTCAGCAGCCTGATAAGCTCTCTGAGTAATGGAAGGCCAAATCCAGCAACTTCCTTCACAAGCCCTCATTTCCCTCAAATCAAACGCCGCTCTCACTGTCTGTTTCTTCCCTTTCTCAGACAGCCCATTATCCACAGATGTTTTTGCAACTGGGTTTGTGTTAATTATCCCCAAACTCTCATATTCTGATTCCCCAGCTCTCACCAAAAAATACCTGTCAATCACCTCAACAAATTACCCAGTGCTCATCACAAAAATCAAAATTTTCGAGCAAATTTAAAAAACAAAGAAAGAATTCAAGAATTACCGGTTAGTGAGGCGAACAGGTGGCATTTGAAAAAGCCCTCGAGCATTTGATACTGGTAAAGAAAATGGGCTAAGTGGGTCATAATTAAGCTTTGGATAAGCGAAAAATGGAGTTATTAGGATGGAGAGTGAGGTGATAAGGTGACGGCGGGTGTTGGGTTTCAGGTGGAATTGAGGATGACATGGGATTGGAGGTGGCTCAGAGGAATTACATGGCGGAAGACTAGTACTGGAGGTAAAAGCTTTTACCATTGTTGTTGTTGTTGTTGTTTATTGACTGGATTTTAACTGATTTCTGATTTCATAACAGAAGTTGGGAAAGAAAGAGCACAACAACAAATGTGTAGTTAAGATTATGAGAGTGACGGGAAAGATCAAATTTTCATGACGCTAGCTAACACCCACACAACAAAAATATCTTTACTATAGTTTTAAAATTCCTCCATCTGTTTCTCTGTTTTAAAATTCCAACCGAGAGGTTGCTAGTTCGAGTCTTCCCAAGAGCAAGGTGGTAAGTTCTTGGAGGGAAGGATGTCGGAGGTCTATTTGGAAACAGCCTCTCTACCCTAGGGTAGGGGTAAGGTCTGCATACACACTACCCTCCCCAGACCCCACTAAATGGGATTATACTGAGTTGTTATTGTTGTTGTTTCTCTGTTTTTTTTCTTTGGCCCCATTTATCCATAAAGTATTTTAATATTTTCAAATATTGAAGCTTAATATTTGTAAATACTAATATGGTAAAATATTTGCTATGTTAAAGAGACTAAAAATGTGATTGGTAGGTAAAAATTAATAACTTCTTGCAATTTCTGTGGATATTTTGCTAAGGCTATGATGTGATGGGTAGGTAAATCTCCATCAAGTATGTTACTTAACACGTTTGTCGTTTGAGATGTACAAAAAGTCTTTAACTACTTTCGTCATTGTCTTTGACAATAGATTATTGGAAGCTCATGAACAATCCCATTGTCACAAGCACAAAGCTCAATTTCCTCGAGACTTTGACGACATCACCTGCTCCTATATATGAGGTGATAATAATGAGGAGAATATAAAATTGAAAAATTAACTTAAATAGCTCTCCATAATTCTTAGGGCCAAGCAACAAAAGTAGCAACAAATCTGCTTGCTGTATTTGCTTGTGAGATATCACAAAAAGGCATATATTAAGTTAATTTACACTAAAAATATAAAGTTTTTGGGTGAACGAAAATGATGAATTTTTGAAGTATCAGGGCTTTTCACTAAGTAGGCTAACATCTGCAATGGGTCACATGTTACTAAATTTGTCAAACCTACATTATCTTGGCCCAAAACAATCTTCAATATTTTTCTCATTCAGATGTCGTCAAACATGTTACGAGTCTAATAGCCCGTTTGGCCGAACTGCAAAAATCAGCTTATTTTGAGAAGTGTTTTTCTCAAAAGTACTTTTGGTGAGAAGCAGTTTGTGTTTGACTAATTAGTTTGAAAAACACTTCTGAGTAGCAATTAGTGTTTGACCAAGCTTTAAAAAACTGCTTCTAAGTGTATTTTTCTCAAAATTGCTTCTCAAAAAAGTGCTTTTGGAGAGAAACTACTTTTTTCTGCTTCTCCAAAACTGCTTCTGCTTTTCCTCAAAAACACTTTTTTTCCTCCCAGAAACTTGGCCAAATACGTCAAATTAAGGCCAAAAGTGCTTTTGGTAAAAAAAAAAAGCACTTTTGGCCAAAAATAAATTTGGCCAAACAAGCTATAATTCTTATCAAAAGAAAAAAAACTGTGGGAGAAAATACTTCAAAAAAACAGCAAAACAATTCCAGTTATTGGTGATAGTGTCGTAGTGTGTCCGTTATATGCATATATAAACTTTCTGATCGTATATTTGTGTAATGTAAATGAAAAGTGCAAGTGGGCATTAACTGACAAGCTTTGCAGATTAAAGTAAACACTATAATCAAGACAATGAGCATTAACGATTATAAAATTAGTGAAGTAATTAGATGTCATCGTGGATCCATGATTTAAAAACCACCATTCGGCCAACTAAAAATTCAAAGTAACTTACTAAAGAGAACATACTTTTTCATTTAACTCTATATTTGACACAAACTTGCTGGAGTAGAATATTTAAAAATAATACTCCTCCAGTTTCAATTGATGTGAATTCATTTGATTGGGTACGGAGTTTAAGAAAAAAGAGAAGACTTTTGAACTTGTGGTATAAAATGAGGCACATATATTTTGTGTAACTATAAATCATTGCATAAAGGTAAATTGTTTTCAAATAAGGAAAATGGTCATTCTTTTTGGCACGAACCAAAAACGAAATAGATTCACGTGAATTGAAATGGAGGGAGTAATGTTTTCTTTTACTTTGACTTAAACGACAAAATAATTTGGCGATGATTGCTCTTAACCAATGTTCCCTGATTAAAAAAAATCCGATTTACTGCCGCCCACAGTTCTAATAGGAAAAAACAAATGCTCCACCATAGTGGATATGGCATATGGTTAGATGCAATAGGTACTAGTAGCACAGAAATAGCTGCATCAAACGACGAACCCACAAAGATTCGATTACAATGTGGTGTCACTGACACCATTAAGAAAAGGATTTCACAATTAGTCAAAAACGAAGCATGTCTGAGATTGTTCCTTGTACTCTAGCTTATTAAAATTACTGCTCTGTCTTTTATACACTCTTTGGACAGTTTCATATTTGATTTTAACTTTGTTGTATCAAGTACTCCCTTCGTTCCCATTTATGTTGATCAAATATGTGCTAAACCGCCAATGCAAGCTAGGTAATTTCTTCTTTTTTTTTTGTATTTTTTTTAGATTTAAACCCTCAAGAAAACTGTCTAGGACGTCTGTGTCGGGGAAAGTCCAAAACTTTTTAAAAAAAAATTCCTACAAAAATTAATAAATTACTACCCGATTCAAAGAGTCATCTCTTGAAAAAGAACCGTGACCATAAGAAAAACCAAGAGTGATTATTTTAAAATAATTTATTTTTTTCAACACAAATAAAATAATACAACTAAAATAACATAGAAAATCACCCAAGCAGTCTTTTCACCCCACACTTAAAATTGTGCATTGTCCCCAATACACACCCATAAATACAAGAGTATAAAAAGAAACTCCCATATAGACCAAAGGCCGAAGCATTAGCAGCTCATGGAGGTACTCAGACTTCTCCCAGACTTGGTTCATTGTGCGGGCACCCCACACTTTGTTCTAACCATCTCGCTTGATTTTGCTTCCTTCCAATGACTTTGCTTCCTGTGCTCCTACAAAATCAGAAACGACACTAAAAAATGATAAAATAAAAAATTAAATTAAAAAACTACAAATAAAAGAAAGCAATAAAGATGGGTTGCCTCCCAACAAGCACCTGATTTAACATCGCAGCTCGACACGAATCACTTTTTGTCTTCACCTCGAGCTTATAAATTGAACCCCAAGTTTTACTTCAAGCTTATGATTATGCTCTTGGGGCGGTACAAATTCTTGCAAGCTAAAAATTAGATAAAGTCTTATGCACTTTTTGGTTCTCGACCGAGGAATGTCACCTTGCCTAGACGACCTTGAAAATTTTAAAATATAAGGCTCATCTACCTCTTGCTTGGACTCTTTTTTATGCTCGTAAAGATCCATTCCCCTTTTGTGATGACCCAAAAGGTCATCACTTATTTTAAAACGAAACTTCCGTGTTTTGAGGCCTTGAAAACCTCATTTAGAGTCACCTCGATTTGCGTGCGCAGTCCGGGCGCGTAGTCGGAAAGCTTAAATATGATAATCTATGAAAATAATAAGTTTTGATTATAAAATAAGCTAATTTGACTTCAGTCAACGTTTTGGGTACACGGATCCGGACACGTGATTTGATGGTCCCGGAGGGTCCATAGAAAAATATAGGACTTGGACGTATGCCCGGAATCGAATTCCGAGGTCTCGAGCCCGAGAAATGAATTTTCAAAGAAAATTGTTTTCTGAAACTGTTTAAAGAAATTTGAAATAAAATTTTATTAGAATATGATGGTATCGGGCCCGTATTTTGGTTCCGGCGCCCGTTACAGGTCTTATATATGTGGATCGAGTTGCACGCCACAACAAATATTAAATTGGATGAGGTTGCACGCAGCAACATATATTATAATGGATCGGGTTGCACGCCGCAACAGTTACACATGTGGATCGGGTTGCACGCCGCAACAGATATTATATTGGATCGGGTTGCACACCGCAACCGTTATATATATGGATCGGGTTGCACGCCCCAACAATGTTAAATGCTAAGGGATCGGGTTGCGCATCGCAACAGTATTGTTATTGTATTGATTGTAGATATCGAGTGTTCTTTCATACTTTATTAAGTTTTGTGATAGAATTGGTATGTTTCCCCGAAGCATGTTCTCCCTCCCTTTTAAACTGTTATTACCTGTTTATATTTCCGTTGTATATTATATAACTGCACAGGTTTATCTGGAGTATGGTCCTAGCCTCGTCACTACCTTGCCGGGGTTAGGTTGTGCTGATACTACACTCTACACTCTGTGTAGATACTGGAGTAGCCTTTGGTCAACAGTAGTAGCTCGGGAGCTAGCCTTCAGTCCACCGAGACACCGAGGTAGCCTTGCAGGCGTTTGCAGGCCCGACGTCTCCTCTATCTTATTTCATATTCTGTTATCTCATGTATTCGAGACAAACAATGCTATATTCCTTTCAAACAGTTGTATTTAGTACTCTTAGTAGTTCGTGGATGTTGTGACACGAGGTTCTGGTTAGAGGCACGTGATGGTCTTTGAGACATTTTTGTTTTCTATTTATTTAAGACTTCCGCTAAATTTCATATTCCGTTGTTATCTAACTGCTTATTTCCTTATTAATATAATTGGTAAGAAGTTTTAAAATAAAGGAGTTAATGATTTCTAAGTTCATGGCTTGCCTAGCTTCTACGAGTAGGCGCCATCACGACTCCCAAGGGTGGGAAATCCGGATCGTGACAAGTTGGTATCAAAGCTCTAGGTTACAGAGGTCTCACAATTCACAGACAAGCTTAGTAGAGTCTGAGGTATTGGTACAGAGACGTCTGTATTTATCCCCCAAAGGCTGCAGAGTTAGGAAAACTTCATATTTGTTCTTTCTCGTCGTGCGGTTTTGTTTCTCGTTAAACTTCTACTTTGTTCTTTAGCAGATGGAGAAAACACGCGCTTCCTCATCTACCGCTCAGCAACCCGAGCCCCCAGCAGTAGCTCCCACTAGGGGCAGAGGGCGAGGCCGAGGTAGGGGTAGAGCTCAGCCTCGAGCAGCAGCCCCAGTAGCGGAGCCTCAGGTTGACTTTGATGATGAGGTTCCGGCCCCAGCAGCTCCGATGGGCCCAACTTAGGTCCC